AAGTCTGAAACCCGGGCATGTGCCCCAACTGGGAATCGAACTGTGATCTCCTGGTGCATGGGTTGATGCTGAACCACTGAGCCACACAAGCTGAGCAACAATACTTTTGAGATTACTTAATCAACCTAGGTTGGCACAGATCCCTGGTGCCACTCTCATTTCAAAGTGAAAATCACCTTTATTCACTCACCTCTATTTCTGCAGCAAGGGCCCAAAAATGTTGTTGACCAAAATATGTGTACAGTGTCAACATATAATATGTGGGAGCCATTATCACTATGTTGGCTCCTATGGAATGATCTTTTTTTTAAAAATATATATTTTATTGATTCTTTTACAGAGAAGAAGGGAGAGGGATAGAGAGTTAGAAACATCGATGAGAGAGATCTATCAGCTGCCTCCTGCACGCCCCCCACTGGAGATGTGCCCGCAACCAAGGTACATGCCCTTGATCAGAATCGAACCTGGGACCCTTCAGTCCGCAGGCCGACGCTCTATCCACTGAGCCAAATCGGTTCGGCAATGGAATGATCTTTGAGAGATTTAACAATTTGCTTTCAGCTTTTACAAGGCATGTGCGCGTGCGTGTGCGCGCGCACACGCACACACACGCACACACGCGCGCGCACACACACACACACACACACCACAACATGAGCTGCAGTTATGTATGTATCTGCATCTTTTGTACAGCTACTACTTACCTAATTCCCTTTATAGAAATATCATTATAGCCCGGTTGGCGTGGCTCAGTGGTTGAACGTCGACCTATGAACCAGGAGGTCACAGTTCAATTCCTGGTCAGGACATATGCCTGGGTTGCAGATTCCATCCCTAGCGTGGGGTGTGTAGGAGGCAGCTGATCAATAATTCTCTCTCATCATTGATGTTTCTCTTTCTCTCTCTTCTTCTTCTCCCTTCCTCTCTGAAATAAATAAAAAATTATATTAAAAAATAAGATTACAAGTTCCATCTTAAGAAAAGAAATATCCTTATAATATATCCCTCTTATGACTTTGCCCTAGAGAACGAATAAAGACATTTCTGAATTGCTGCTTTTCTTTTTTTATCTAATGATACAAACTATGTGAATCCATCTTGTTCACCTTGCCCCATCTCCTTTCTTTCCCCCTTGACTATCTGTGAAAATAGAACTAATTTTATTTTCTCAGTTGCGTACAACTAGGTTAAACTATCTACTACCTCCTTAATTACTTAACATTTATTATTTTATTCTTTCATCAATCATATTGTATGGGTATCTTTTATTTTAGTAAGCATTCTCAAATTCTTTCTGGAAGTAGACAACAGGATATGAACAATAAATGCAATAAAGACTCCTGCTACTTTAGCAACCCTCACATGGAGAATGGTTGAGCTCGGAGTATGAGGATAGCAACGCTTGTGTCTGAGAGTTGTTGGACTATGTGTCCAGCCTCCCTGACGATCCCCATTCAGGTAGCAGCAGAACGCTGGATCTTCTGTTCTTATTTCTAGTAAGGCTCCGTGAGAGGCGTCCCTGTCTTTCAGACCCCATATTCCTCACAGCCCATTGCCTGCCGTCTGTGAAGAAAAACCCCAATGTCAGCATTTCCTCAACTTGATTCAGAGTGTCCACTGTCTGGTGCTGGACAGGTAGTAGACATTTAGAGAACTTACATCTTCCTCATTGACTGAGACCATCATTAACCTCTGCTCTCTGAAGACTTGACCCTTTTTTGTCTTTGTTCCTCTAGTTTCATGACACCTACCCTTGTTTACCCCCGCTGCTTTCCCTACTAGAACAGGACCTCCTGGAGGTCAGAAGATGTGTTTTACTCCTCTCCCAATCTCCAGCATATCTCACAATGCTAGTACATCACCATTTTCAAAACATGTTGAAGAAATCAATGAATGAACACCAATCTTTGTTGATAGTAGAGTAAGAAGAAGGGATCATTGAATGAACGCTTTGCATATTTCATTGATCTAAAAATCAAGAAGTAAAACTATAGAAATAATTATTTACTATCAAGAAAAGAATGTAAATAGGAATTGTTCATCCCAAATGGTATTTCTTTATTTCCAAGAATCAACTTTATTTCATTTGTAAAGAACACTGTCTCAAGGTGATGTCTTGCATTTAAAGGGATATACTTATACAAGAATTAAGTTCATTTTATAAATGTCTTGATATGTCTCTTTTTTTAAAAAATATTTTTTTCGGCCTATTTTTCTCTGAAAGACAACAAAA